CGATCGCCCGATGTCACTCACACACACACACACACACACACACACACACACACACACACACACACACACACACACACACGCACACACACACACACACATTTTAAGAATCGATCCGTTAGTGCAGAGCGGAGGTGCAAGCTTTGACTGACGTCCCAGCAGGTCAGGCGGATCTCGCAGCTGATGGCGAGTAACTCTTTGTGTTTTGTCTCACCTGGCTGCGGTGGGATATGGCCCGACCGCACCATCAAAACAGAATGACTGTGCTATGGGGTCTACTCGCATTGACAGCGCTTGGCGCTGCGTACGATGTGCAAATGCGCGGCTCCTTTGGCGAAACTCCCGCTGCCCAGCCCATTCAGATCAATGGCATCTTCCCGGGCCTGACTGCAACTGCCGCCTCGGGGCCAACCCGCTCAGAGTGCGGCACAGGCGCGCTCATGCCCTGGGCTGACAACCTCTACATGGTGGGATCGCTCCACGTGCCTCTCCTCGCCTTTCCTTCTGAGCTCTGCAGCAACCCTTCTCCTCACTTGGCGCCCATCGCCGCCGGCCGCAGGTGTCATACCTGTCGGTACCCGATGGTGGATCCGGCACGGGCTTGTACTGCATCCACCCAAACATGACCATGTCGCTTGTAGCTCCCCACAACTCGACCTACGCCAATCGCATGATCCATGTGCAATCCGACTCGGTTCGTGCCCAAAGCGCCGATCCTTGATGGCATCCCTTCTCGCGCTTTCTCCACTACTTCCTCCCGTCGGCCGCGGGCACGCATCTCAGGTGCTGCTATGGTCGTCGTAGATTATCATTGGCATGTGGGCCATTGATGTACATGGCAAGCCCCGCGAATTTTCCAGCCTGGCCAAGGTGCGCATCGGCGCCTCGGCGGTTCACCTGACCGATCCTGACAACAAGGTACGATCGATTGTTCGACATGCCACTCCCTCGACTCATTTGCACACCTTGTATGCCGGTTCTGTGCCTACTTCCATCCACAAATGCACTGGACCTCTGACCCAACTTCTTTGCGGGTTCCTCAATGCATTCCTATGTGCAGGTGTACATGCTGAGCATGGATGGCCCTCTCTACGAATGCGACGTCCATCGCATGAATTGCACCCAGCTGTTTGATTTGGTTGCTGAGCTGAACATCCCCAAAAGTGAGGGTGAACAGCCCCACTTCAAGGCGGCCCACAGCATGGCCGGCAAGCTCTACGTCGCCACGAACACCTTTGAAGAGAATGACTACCTGGGCGTGCGCCACGGTGGGCGCCTTGCTAGCTGGAGTGGGCCTGGTACCAACTGGACAATTCTCGAGTCGTACGTTCCTACCTTCTGCTTGTCCCCTCCATCACCAACGTCCCTGGTGCTCCATATAGCTGCTGCTCACCTCTCTGTTGCTACACTTTGCGTTGTTGCTCTATTGTTTGTTCGTTTGTCGATCTCTTTGCTTCCTCAACAAAGGACCGCGTTCGTTGAGGTGACGGGTCGCTCCAACTTTGGCCGGGTGGTCTATGCCCTGGGCTGGGATAAGCGCAGCGCCATCCTCAAGGTTCTTGACAACGGTGACGGCGCTGACCCTTCCATCGACACCAACTGGCAGACCTACCGCCTGCCCAAGGCCTCCCATGCCTACGAGTAAGTGATGGGCGAGGAGCCGTCACGTGCTTCTGCTCTCGTCTGAAGCACCCCTCCCCCCAGATACTTGGTGCGCCTTTCCCGCTCACGCATGTATGCAACCCATATTGTGGATATCGCGGTAACCCAGTCACCTTTGGCAGACCGAGTGGCCCCGCATCCGTGAGGTGGAGACGGAGCGCTACTTGGTAGACATGCACGGCATGTTCTACGAACTCTCTCCTCTTGGCTGGGCAGGATCCACGTGGGGCGTCCGTCCCGTATCCCAGCACCTGCGCATGATTCCCGACTTTGCTGCGTGGCGCGGCATGTTGGTGCTTGGTGGCAACCAGGTCTCCTCTATCTTCGACAACAACATCATTACGGGCCAGGCTCAGTCTGGGCTGTGGTTTGGTAAAACCGATGACTTGTGGCAATTCGGCAAGCCCAAAGGCTGGGGTGGTCCTTGGCGCTACGATGCGGTGACCGCCAACGCGCCTTCAGACCCCTACCTGATGACCGGCTTTGATCACATGGTGGCCCATGTGCGCGTGGAGGAGGCCAAGGGCGAGGTTGACGTCACCGTTCAAATTGATTTCACAGGCATTGCCGGCCACATGAACGAGGCCTGGTCCAACTACACCACGTTGACCGGTATGACGGCAGGTTCGTACAAGTACGTTGTCTTTGAAGCTGGATTCTCGGCGCACTGGGTCCGCTTCGTCACGGATGCGGATGCTACCATGACCGCCTACCTCCACTACTCGTGAGCTGGCTCAAAAAAACTCGGCCTCGTGAGCATGCATTGCTTGAATCGAACCAGTGATTCTTCAAAGGCGTGTGCCAAAAGTGCTGCACATATCGCGATGCCCTCGGATCGATCAAGGCACGCTGCAATGCAGTGCGAGCAATGGCATTTACCGTTGGTACGAGTCAAAAGGCTGAACGAGGGAAGCAAGAAAGGTACAGAGAAGGAAGGGAATTGAACCCAGCTGGCACGAGGTGTCGATTGGTTTGAATCTGGAAGGAGGAGGCAACAAGCAGGACCTCAACCTGAAGCGCAACCGATTCCCGCAGCAGAGCAGTGGTGCTGTGATCGTGGCAAATTTAAAAGGCCTTGTTCTCCACGAAGCGGGTCACCATGTCCTTGACGGAACGACCCTGATCGAAGGGAGCAATATGGCCAGCGCCACGGACCACCACCTGCGTAAAGTTCTTGTAGCTGCGCGCGTAGCTGAAGATGAAGACAAAGCGGAAGGCAGGTCGTCAAGGAAGTGGGAATGAGTATCGAAGTGGAGTCAAAAGGCCTGGCGTCGATAACACAAAAGCCAGGTGTAGAACACGGCGAAACGAAGGGCTTACCCGGCAACCTGCTCGTCGGCAGCCTCGACCTTCCAGACAGTGCGATCAGCAGCCGCAAAGCCCTTGCTACCCGACCTGGTGGCAAGACGCATATTAAAACCCGGGCATGAGAGGGGAGGGCTCGTGCCAACCACCCAACCTCGAAGGCAGCCGCAGTCAGCAACATGGGAGGGTGGACAACAAGTTCTGCTGGTAAGTACATACCAGTTGAGGTGGGGAATATATTGCTCAGTGAGGGGAACACCAACAATCAGGTCAAGCTGGCCGTTGTACAAGAGAACCTTGTAGTTCTCCATCAACAGCTCGAGCTCAGGCTGGTACGAGTCCATGACCTGTGACGCGGGCAGAAGCGTAAAGCCAACAGCAGCAGCAAAGGGGATTAATGGCCTGACAAGTGGGTTGAAGGGGTAAGGCCCTGAGTCAAGATGGCAGCGAGCACCCACGTCGTTGATCAAATGCATCTCACACTCCAGACCGCTGTTCAGCGTAGCGTTGCCCACATGGATATCATCGCGGTGACTGTGACAAGCATGGGCAAGCATGGGTTGGCGTCCACGGAAGACAGGAAGACCACAAGGCAGCGAGTCGTGAGTGTGGCAGGCAAAGAAAGCAACGTCAACGGCTTGCCGGAACTTTGGCCAGCAAAAGGCAAGATCAAAGGGTTGGAGCGCCGTTTAACGCACGCTTGGAGGAAGGCCGAGTAGTAGCCAAACGAAACGGGGCCATCGGTGCGCAGAAAGTTGTCGTAGTCCCTATTGAATTCCACAACCAACGGTAGTGATAGTCATAAGGGAAATGGATCATGAGGCTTCTTGTGAGCGAGGCCTGGTACTGCGAGGCCCGTTGGTAACATACGTGCAGCCCGTGAGGTTGTAAAAGTAGGTGGCATACGGCCACACATCGCCGTTGAGCATCAGATCCCAGACGTCAAAGGCAGCCTGTGACCGTGCAAATGACAATGAGTGGCCCGCCAGAATAAGCCAGACAGCGAGCAGCAGATGCTTGAGCGCGGACGGACAAACCTTGTAATCACCGGCAGTGATGTAGTTGATGGCCTGAAGGCTGTACTCTTCGAGTTGCTGCAATCGGATAAGAACAAAATGTGGGCGTGCCCACAATGGGGTGAGCGTACGCGCTGATGTATTCTCGTCTGCACACGCAGTCAAGGTACTGACCGCAGTCTGAACATCATCGGCGAGGCCAAGGTTGAACATGAGGCCGGGAATGGCCTGCATTTGCAGGTGAGGCACGGTCCAGCCATCACCGATGGAAACACCCTGCGACGTGTTGACCCGACATTAGTTCGCCGTGCTCTGCCAAGGCTTGAGGTCAAAGTCATCATCAGGTCCTGGGACGACACCGGAAAGCACGGGGGTTGAGACAAACCTTGAGAGGAATCTCGGGCTTTTGGCCGGCCTTGTTCTGGTTGTGCACGTAGGCACCAAAGGCCGGGATATAGTGACCTATGGCAGGGCGGAGCAGGCAAGTTAGAGACGACGGGCAGAGCTGATATGGAGGTCGTCAAGTATAGAAAGGCAAAGTCAACTTCAACGCAAAGAGAAGAAGAGTTAACTTGCCGGCATAGGATTCGCCCGTGATGTACAAGTCATTCTTGAGCTCCGAGGGGAAGACTTGATAAAAGGCCTGGAGGCAGCTGTACAAGTCCTCGGCCGCATCGACGCGCGAGTTGGTGGCCCAGCCATTCTATGGTAGCATTGCATCCATAGTCAAACTCAGTGGGGTTGTTTCCAAACAAAATGGGGGTCATCAGTAAAGACCATGGAGACTGTGCCGTGACCGACCTTGGCGGTAAAGCTGAAGCCAGCGCCAACAGGGTTGTCGATGAAGAGCAGGCTGTACTCCTCGTTCCAGGTGGTGTTGCTGTGTTTGGACGCCGGCCAAGGAAGATCAAGGAAAGACTCAAGATCAGAAGTGGACAGGGAGATGAGCGACATGGTCAAGGAGCAGGGCGGAATCACAAAAATCGAACCGGGGCTCAAGCTGCTGGTTGGCGTTGATGCTGAAAGGACCAATCTCCGAGAAGAGACCAAAAGTGGAAGCACCGCCGGGGCCACCTGGAAGCGCACAGGGGATGCCGGGCGTAAGCTGCAAAGTATCAACACTCAAAAGGACAGAGTGGCACCCTCGCGCGCAGAGGTTGAATGCGCTGAACAGACCTTGGAGCCAGATCAGGAGGGGAGCGTTCTTGTTGCCGTTCAGGGCAGGGAAGTACCAGACAAAGAGGCTGTTACCCTTGGTCTGGTTGACCTCAAGAAAGCCGGCGTAGGAGGTAAGGTTGCCCAGGTTGGTCTTGGCGAGGTTTCTAGCCAAGTATGCAAGCACATCAGTGTCCACGGCCGCCTTTGTGGAGGAAGACGGGCAGGCGGGCGATCAAACGTACTGGGCAGCAAGGTGGCCCTGCTCCTTGGCCACGTGGTTCATGATGAGCGCCGGGTTCTTGGCCGGCAAAACCTCAGCCTCTTCAAACCCACGGGCATAGAGAGAGCGCAGAGCTGTGGCCGAAGCCAGCAGGGCCAAAGCGGCCACCAGCATGAAGGTCTTGGCCATGACTGCGGTCGTCGAGTCAGCAGTCAAGAGCAAGAGCAGTTAAAAAAAAAAATGAGCGGCACACACAGAACACGCCGCAGAGGGTTCTTGTAGCTGATATTAACGTTAATGAAGTCATAAACACATTATATGTACGTGTTTCGTCGGGTTTATGCATTTACCAACGCATGGCTTTAGTTATTTCTTGTAGCTACTGTTTTGTTTTGTGTATATCTTATTGTGGTTTTCGCAGTAACAACGTCGGTTTGTGATGTTTACTAGCCCCCTTTGTCCGAGGGGGCATACTGTTGATAACATCAGTTGTCAACCTGCTAGCGCAGAGTGATGCGAGCTGACAAATCTTGGAGGAGCTCAGCAGCTGCGAAAATGTGAATAGCTGAAACGCTGATTTATACTGGTACAAGCATTGTAATTTCTTCAGACAGACGAGGTTTGTTATCATCACTGGTTTCGTCCTCTGGTAATCTTGACTGGATTCGCTACACGGAGTGGCGTCGGGCGGCGCGATGTGCGGCAAACGGCAGCTCCGGCTCCCGATGCGCGCTTTCCCGTACCCATGGATCGAGACCGCACCACTGGTCACAAGACAATGTTATGCCTTTGCCATCACCTGCTTTCTCTCCCTTTGCTGACCCGTCCTTTTTCCCGCAATGCTTAGCCGAGCCAGGCGGCCAAACTGTTCGCCATGTCGAACCCGCTCCCCAGCAAGCATGAGATCGAGACCCACAGGTGAGTCAAGCTTTGGCCCGGCACCGGTGCCAGTACCTGGTGGCCTCTGGGCATGGATCTCAATTTTTTTTTTTTTTTTTTTTTTTTTTTTTTCCATCCTCTCTTTTTCCGCCTCTCCCGTTTGGGCTACCTGATATGTCTGCTGCTTCAGCTCGGCTGCCGCGATCGGCCTTGCCGTCCTGGTCGCCGTGGCCATTGCTGATCTCGGCCTCATAGGTGTGCATAAGTCGCATCCACACGCTGGTAATGTGGGAAAGAGTGTCTCGCCTCACTCGCAATTGTTCTTGATTGCATCGCGTGGTGGCCGCATTGATTGTGCTTAGGCTTGGGTCGGCATCGAGCGTTCGCCAATGGCATCCTCGTACGCGGCTTCGTACGTACTCAGCTCACGGTGCTGGTGACCTACCTGTGGACTGCCGCACCAATTTTTTTTGTCCGCTTGCGCATCTCATCGTAGCCTGCCACCACCGCGCTACTTTGCGTGCTGGCGGAACCATAGTATCTGGCCTACTTTGTCCTCTTTGGTTATTTGATGCATTGGGTCGCGGATGACTTCAAGCAGCAAAAGCTTGCCTCTGGCGATTCCGGTTCGCTTTGCCAATACCTGACCACTGTTGGGCAGACCCCTCACTGAAGACACTCCTCCTTTTCACTTGAGATTCACCTTTTTTGGTCCCTTGCCACCTTGGATAGTGGTGTCCTTTCATTACCATCCGCTCTTCATGTCCATCGCCTGGCTGTTCTGTGCCGCTGAAGGTACGGATGACAGTCTTGACCACACCGCGCCTTTTTGATGATATGGCCCACTGCTCAATCGATCTGTCCGGTCCGTCATGCTAATGGCCTTGTTTCAGCGGCCATGGGCTTCAAAACTGCGCCCGTCGCCAATGCTGGACATGACAAGTCCAAAGTCAGTCGTTGCGCACGCTGCCGCTCTCTCAGCTCCTGGCCACGATGTGCGCTTCAGCCCAGCTCGCCTCAGCTCAAGCTGTGCTACTCTGTTCAAAACAGCTCTACCATGGCATCATGAACTTTTTGGCCTTTTTCCTTGCCGTTGTCGGTGTCTCCATCGTAAGACGCGGCGCGTGTCGTGCCACCCCTGTCGAGGCGTTTCGATCCTCACACATTGGCGGCTTCAACAACTATCTCATGACCCATTCATCTCCCAGGCCTTCAAGAACCATGCGGCCAAAAAAGTGGCCCACCTCGACTCGGTGCACTCGTGGCTAGGACTCCTAAGTACGCCATCAATGCCAGAAGAATGCAATCCCTGACCCCCCCTGTGCTGGGATTTTTGTTTCTGGCTGTTGTTGTTCTTGTTGCTCTTGATCTTGTTCTTCTTTTTTCTTGCTTGTTTGCTTGCTTGTTTGCACGCTTTTGGCCTGTAAACCCGTGCTAGACGCTTGTGGGTGTGTCTGCTGACCTCATCAACATGGCTTGCGGCTCCATACAGCTACCCTGTTGATGGCCTTTCAATTTTTCTCGGCGCTTTTCGTCTTTTTCATTTCAAATAACAAGACCTGGCGCCAGGTAGTGCCTGTTCCGAGGCCTGCGAACAGGCACCGCCTCTTCTTGCAACAACCTGACATGGTCAGCTCACCTTGCGCGTGCTTGCCCATAACAGCGGCTGCACTTTGGCCATCGCTATCTCGGTGCAGCCACCTTTATCACGGCCTGCTTTGTTATCACACTCGGCCTGCAAGAGTATAACTCGGGTGTACGTTGGATGCTAGCAGCGCAGCCGGTGGTCTTGGACTCAACTCCTTGCATGGCATCATGTTGTTAATGCACCCTCGCCCATTCGCCATGTTTTGGATTTTCTTTTGAGAGTCTTGATCGTCCAAATTCTTTGTCTCGTTACCTCTCATCCTTTCTGTGTGTGAAACTGCTTGCGCCTTGTAGACGGCCTACTCGACCTCGCGCCGTGTGGTGCAAAGCGCCACCTTGTGCGTGTGGCTTATCGCTTTGCACGTGATTGCCGGCGTAAGTGTGCTGTCTGCCATCGCTCTTTCGTACTGTGTCTGTGAAGCGCCGCTTGCTGACTCGCCCGTGCCTCGTGCAGCTTTTTTATCGTCCCAACGGCCACTAAGCTGCACGCCCGCTTGCACGTCTGAGCCTTGCACGCTGCCACTGATCAGGCGCGTTTGGACCCGTCATGCTCACGACGACAAGATACATTGTTTTCTCGTAATTGATCTTTTGAAAGAACGTTGACGGTACAGCCACACAAGGAAACAAACACCAAGCTTGCCAATCACAGCTGTGCTCGACAAGAACAACACTTTTTAGGCCCGAAGGCACAGCTATGGACCTGGATTGTGCAACACCCTGATCCCATCCAGTCATTTAGTGTGTGTGATTAATGGCCGGCCGCTTCTTCGGCGGCGAGAATGGCTTCCTCCAGCTTCTCCTGACCAAAAATCTACGCGCACCGAGCGAGAGGGAAGACCGGCATATTGCACGTGAATTGGGTCACCGCGCGATTGGCGACCGATCCAGCGACGCACGGTTTTGATTTGTGAGTGAAACTCATTAAACTTGAGAAACTCCTGCGGAATGCCGTCCATCAACAAGGCAAGTGAGCCCACGATCTGGCACGAGGCTAACAGGTCTGTGCGGTACAGTCCAATCCGGAGAACAGTGTGCCTCACCTCAAAGGTAGCCTTGGCCTCTGTCGTCGATCCTGCGCGATCCAGCTGATGCACACCGTGCTGCAGTCAAGGTCCAAAGAAACATGTGCATGGTTTGTGAAGCTGAGGCCAGGTGTCGCAGTAAGGCACGAAAAAAGCCATGATGTTCGGTTGCCACGTTCGGTTGCCACGTACCGGGGGATCGATGTGCCACGTGCGAAAGACCACTGTTTGATCAGAGTAGAAGGCCACTTGATGATAGTGCTTGGACGGCGGGGGTGCCTAACATGAAAGAGCAACGGTTGTGCGTCAACGCGTGCAGCCCTGGTGGTGTGTGATTCCCGATTGTTTACATGAACATTCTGTTGGACGGGTGGGTCTTGCCGCGCGAGATGGGGATGGTGGTCCCAGCCGTCTGGCTGCGTACGCACCTGTCCGCGCAGTTCAAAGATGAGCTCTGCTTTAGGAGGCATCCTCGTATGTTCCACGGCGACAGGACAGGTGGCACCTAGGCGATGACCCATCGAATGTCCAGCACCACAGCACTCATCAGGCTTTCTTTCATCAGAACCCGAGCGCCTTGCGCCCGCAGAGATGACGATGATGCGAAACATGAAGGAAGACAGCAAGACTGCCGAGGTGCTCCGATGCCGCAAGTTGTGCCCAAAGTAAAGCCTTGGGCTCCAACAATGCCAGCTGCCCCGTCGTGTCACAGCCCGGGCACCCTGGTCTCAAGCGTTGACTGTCATGAGACCCACAAACCTCAGAAGAAAATCCAATTCGTGATGAGATATCCGCGTATATGCGGTAGTTTGTGCAGATGAATATGGTAACGTTAAGGAAGTTTGTGCAGTCTTTGGTCGAGTTAAAGTTGTGGCTGTTTTCATTGGTATCCAAGCCCAAATGCACACACGCTCTGGCTCTTCCTCTTCCTCTATCTGTCTACATCTCTTCTCTACCTCTCCCTCTACCTCTCCCCCTACCTCTCTACCTCTCCCTCTCTCTACCTCTACCTCTCTCCACCTCGCTCCACCTCTTGCTTTTTTGCTTACTCCTACTTCTCGCCCCGCCCAAAAGGTCCAAGAGGAACGGAACAAACAGCCTCCATATTATTCTATTGCATGTGCTCAAGTCAAAGAAAAAAAAAAAACAAGAAATTCATTTCGAAACCAAGCGTATCCCCGGGCTGTGTTGACAGGCACACTTGGCCTTAGGCGTACATGGCCTTAGTTGGTCTGAAGGTGTAGCGGGAAGGAGCGTGATCCGAGAAGGGCCGGCCAGCGGCGACAACAGTGTAACGCGACACTGCTGGGATCAAAGGCATCAACTTGCTCACCCATTTTGTATAGAACCTCAACACTTGACACCCTGACACTCGGCACTTGAACCTCACCGATAGGAACGACGAATCGTGCCTGCACAACACCAAGTGGGCAAGAGACGACAAGATCCGGTGAGGCTGCTACGGCATTGCAAGTACAAATAGAGCAACTGCCCACATGCGTTGGGACCCATGCATCGAGGAGCACAATATACGAACCGTAGGCGCGATGGGATGTGGTGGGCTGGCGGCCAGGAAAGGGCAAGGACAGACACGATGTAAAGGCTGGGTGAGCTGTACCGCGCCAGGTTCAGGCTGTGTCACAGAATTGTCTTGCATGCCAAAGACAACACACCGTAATGGGAGAAGATACTGAGGAGAGGGAAAAAAGGCGGTCTTTGTCAGTGACCTTACGACCCTTGGCATCATCCAGGGCCGTCCTAAACGCCGCCAGGTGCAACAATCCGAGAGAGAGAGATAGGGAGAGAAAGGAACAAGGGTGATCAGGAAGGGTTGTTGAGGGCTTTCTTGGGACGGGAAAGCTCTCGATCAAAGCATGGAACGCACCGTGAGCTCGAATAGCCGTTGAAATTCGTGAGCACGTTGCCCCAGGTCTTGGTCTCCTCCAAATAGGCGAGCTCCTCCGCAGCCAACTGCATGCATAAGAGCCGCGCAGGTTGTACCATCACCGGCAAGGCATGCAGAAGTGAGACGAAAAGGGCAAAAGCTCCTCCACCACGCAATGTCATTGGGTTCTGTGCTCAGCCAGACGCAAGCGCGCGCATGCACGATACGACACCGCCCTCAAAGAGTTGTTTTGATGAGGAGCAGGGCAGCTCACCTTTTCCTCAAGGGCCGCGAGCTGATCCTATGTGTACAAGAGCGAGGCACAACGTGAGACAAATACTTCTCCGTAGCAACGGCTGCAGCACAGCTACAACGTGTGTGTGTGCGCATCGTTATCCAACCTGAATGAGCTTGCGCTGGTGACAAGCTGCCCGCAACTCCTCCATTCTCGGCAGTCACAAGCACGTCGATAGGGGTCCGAAACAGCCACCCAGAATGGTAGATTTCAAAGAGTTGACCCAAGAACAGCCGTATCCGAGACACCCAAACCACAGACAGGCTGCCACTCCCCAGCAGTCTATATTGCTCACAGCCACTCCTTCCACCACGACACCGCCCGTCGCTCGTCGCCCGCCGTCCGTCGTCCGTCGTCCGTCGCTCGTCGCCTGCCCCCTCTCTCTCTCTCTCTCTCTCTCTCTCTCTTGATCTGAATCTCTCGCCGTTTTCGAGTCTCTCAGTCTTCTCGGAAACTAGAACACACCGGCGCATTGCGAAATTGTTTCGGAAGAAGGGATACGTAACGTGCTGGAGGGTCGTTGAGCTGCTGTATCTCTTTCGATTGAACAGTCAACCCCACAAACCTCTGATTTAGGCTTTTGTAGGTAACCGAGAGCCGCCGGCCCTGCGCCCCTCTCTCTAGCACCGAGCTTCTCCCTCTCTTGCTCTCTTGCTCTCTCTCATATCTTCTCCAAAGGGCGGCGCGGACTCGTTCGATCCGGTTTGTGATTGGAGGGGTTGATCGCCGAGGTGGGGGGAATGGGAGGGCAATGCGTCTTTGCTCTTGGTGTTGGCAGTAGTTGGGAGCAGGAGGAGGGTTGGTGAGCGGGCTGCCGTCGCTAAAAAGTACGCCCCCCAAGCACCTCTGCCGTCAAGATCGATCACGCCCGTTTCGCGTGAGACTGCGCGCATACGGGTCAACGGACCGAGTTCTGCCCGAGAAAGCTGGCCATGTGGCGCACCTATCATGGCCGTGATGGCCCGCGCACCTTTGGCGTGCGCGTGGCGCAGCCGCACCAACACCATCTCGCTGCCGGTATGTGGCCCAACAATCTGCGCAACCACGTGCCCGGCCTTGCTCGCCTTTTGCACAGCGCCCGACTCATTGCAGTCGATCCGCCGACACTGCAGGCGACCTTGATCTATACTGCGACAACCGCGTCATCACCAGCAAGTATACGCTGCTCACCTTCTTGCCCATCAACCTCTTTGAGCAGTTTCAACGCATCGCCAACTTTTACTTTTTGGTGCGCCCACTCAGCCAAGCCAGGCCATTCCAACATCCCTGGTCACCCATCTCGGCACACAATGCCTTCGCATAGCAAGCCCTCACTCTTGTCTGTGTCTCTTAAACTCGCCTCTCTTGGTGCTTTGGCGCGCGCCCCGCTGCTTCGGCCCAGGTGGTCATGATTATGAACTTTGTGAGTCACTTGCCATGATCGACAAGAACAAGGCGGTAGCCGCCCCCAGCCTTATACATGTTGAAAAACAAAGCGCCCCGCTTATTCTGACGCCATGGACATTCTTGTGCTTCTTAGATCCCAGGCGTGGCCATCATTGAACCCATCACCAGCGTTCTCCCTCTTCTCTTCGTCATCGGTGTCACTGCTATCAAACAAGCCTACGAAGATTACAAGGTAAACTTGGCGGGCCTTCGCCAATCCCCTTCTCTTTCTCATCCGGCTCCATCGTCCTTGACCTCATTTGCGTGATGCATGGCGTGTGGACAGCGCCATCAAGCGGATGCCGTCATCAACCTCTCAGAATGCAAGACTTTACAAGCAGACGGCACGCTTGCGCCTTGCTATTATAAAGACATTGTATGTGTGCCACGTCGCGGGCTGGATGCCACTTACATCTACCATGGACATGATCGTGGCCGCCTTATTGCCAACCTGCTTCTTGTACAACAGGCTGTGGGCGATATTGTCCAAGTTTGTAATGAACAAGAAATCCCATGCGATCTCGTGGTCGTGGCCTCCGCCCTCGAGAGCCGTGATTGCTACATCACGACGGCCAACCTTGATGGCGAATCCACACTCAAGGTCCACATACACTACGTCCTCGCTGCTCGGCTCTCTATTCATTCCCATGCCCCATGGACAAGAAGTCCGCGCGTGTTGCCCCTCTTATCCTTGCAAATCAACCCCTTGGGAACAACAGGTGCGCTACTGCCCTAAGCTCTCGCAGGGCTGGGGCCCTGCAGAACTGGCGCGGCAAGACAAACTGACTGTCGAAGCCGGAGTTCCCAACGCCATTTTGTATGATTTCGATGGGCGCATTCGCTCCGGAGGTGAGGCACCTTGTACCACCTTTGTGCGCCTTCTGAGGTTCCCTTATGACCGCGTGGTTCACACGGCCAGAGATGCCTTGACCACCTCCTTCTGCGCCTCTCATGGTCATTAGAAACTGTTGAGGCGCTGACCACCAAGAATGTTCTGCTCAAGGGCGCACGACTCAAGGGCACGCCGTGGGTACTGGGCATCGCCGTCTATACGGGCGATGATAGCAAGCTGGCTCTCAATCAGCCCAAGACTAAATATAAATTCTCCACTGCTGAATCGCGACTCAACATTTTTTTGGCCTTTTACTTCCTCTGGCTCATTCTGGTCTGCACCATCTCCACTGTCTATGGAGAAGAATGGCGCTCCGACGCCCGGCGCTTTTGGCCTTTGCGAGGACAAGACACTCAAATGTACGCACGCCTACACGCTTCACACCCAGCCCACTTTGCGCTTGACGCGCAACACTCACCAGCAACCTCTCCACGCACCCTCTGCCTCTGCTGCTGGCTCACAGCGCCACCGATTTGACCTACCGAGTGGGCGACGTCATTGTAACCTGGCTACGCTTTATGCTTCTTTACAACTGGGTCAGGCAACCCCTACGCTCCTTCTACTGGGGGTCTTTTCCATCCCTGTGGCTCAGCCGGGCTCGAGCTGACTCTGGCGCGTCGTGCGTGCGTCAATCTCACCTGAATGCACGGCTGGGTCCTCCCTATTCTGATCCCTAGGTCATCCCTATCAGCCTTTACGTCACACTCGAATTGCAAAAGCTGGCAGGCTCGCTCCTCATCAATTGGGACCTCAAGCTGTACGATGAGCACCTGGACGAGCCTGCCACGGCTCGCACCTCTGACCTTATTGAAGACCTGGGTCAGGTCGAACACGTTTTCGCTGACAAAACTGGGACGCTGACAGAAAATCGGTGCGTTGTCCCTGACTACCATCACGCCCGCTCAGCCTGAGGTGACCCTGTGCTCATTCTGGATTACCATCTAGCATGGTATTCAAAAAGTGCAACGTGCGTGGCCATGCTTTTGAAGTCCAAGGCGATTATGAACGACTGGTTCCGGCTGGCTCTGAAAAGACCAGAGCCTCTCTCAATAGCGCAGCTGGACCCAGTGCTCTCAACACGGCGCCGTCGGACGTATGGCACGACACGTCCAGCATTCGGGAAATGTTCATGTGCCTGGCTCTTTGTCACACCGTGTCCTACGAGGATAGCGTGGACGAAAGCGCACAGCACACATTCACTCGCCAACGAAAAATGACCTCAGTCTCACCCGACGAAGAAGCCCTCGTGCGCGCTGCTGCTTTGCCAGAGGTAGGTCATCTTTTGAGGACGTGCCCAGAGGCCTGATTGCTTAGGTTCAGAACTGTTGTCTTTTTGGTCGCTTGCTGATTTCAACGTCCTCACACACGACAGGTTGGAATCCATTTCTTTGACCGCAGCGATGACACGATTCAACTAGAGATTGACGGCCAACGCATCGAATATGAGGTTTGCTCAGCCTGCAAGCTCTATGCCCTATGTCGAGTTTGGGGCACTTGAGGTTCTCATTCGCTCGCGCACTTCTTGCCTTGCTTTGACCGTCATGCCTGCTGTTCCCCTCGGGTCAATTGGGTCAGCTCCTGCACATTATGGAATTTTCTTCTGCTCGCATGCGCATGAGCGTGCTCGTTCGCGATCCCAATGGCCAGGCCACCCTGTATACCAAGGGAGCTGATGCTGCCGTAATGCAACGCTGCCGGGCGCAATCGTCACCACAATCAACAACAGAAGAGCAGCAGGCTGAACTTCACCGTAAGTACTGACGGGCCTGTTCTGCCTGGGTAAAACAGCGAACTTTGACATGACTACGTGTGCTTTTCTAGAACTTCAAGAACAGCTGGACGAGTACAGTCGTCAAGGGTTGCGTACTTTGGCCGTGGCTGCTCGTCAACTCTCCGCGGATGAGCTGGAGCATGCCATCGAGCTGCTGACGGAAGTACGCAACTCGCATTGGTCAAATGGCCCAACGCTTTTCTTTGCCGTCTAATTTCACTCTCCCCTACTCCACCTGGCATTCTAGGCTAGTCAAGCTATGGAAGATCGCAAGGGCAAACTACGCGATGCATATGAGACCCTGGAGCGTGACCTGGACTTGATTGGCGTCACGGCGGTGGAAGATCGTCTTCAGGTTTGTGGTTACCATGTCCTGGGAGGAGCGTGGGTGTTCGTGTTGACAAAGGCACCGTTTGTCTAATAAGACTGTGTGGTCGGGCACCTGTATCGACTTGGCACCTGTATCGGGTGTGTAGGATGGTGTGCCTGAAACCATGATTGCGTTGCGCGAGGCGGGCATTCGCACCTGGGTCTTGACCGGTGACAAGGTGCAAACAGCCATCAACATCAGCCTGTCCGCGGGTCACTTCTCCCATTCAGCCACGCAGCTCAAGTTGCTAGGCTTGCGCGAGGCCGATGCCTGCGGCCAAGCCCTCAAAGAGCTGCTCCCTCAGGTTTGCCAAAGGCTTGGTTGGTCAAGCCGCTTCGCCAGTACTTGCGTGTCGGCTCTCAGCAAAGATTGCATCTGCTGATTCTGCAACCTAGGTCTCTACACCATCACCTGTGATGAGCGCTCACGGCTCATCAGCGTCGTATGGCACCATCTCTTGTGAGTTGAGACGCCGAGGTGTCTGCTTGGTCTTTGCACCCTTCCAAGCTCGCTCTCACACATGCACACTAAACTACCCTCGCTGCACGCGTGCACCCAGCCACGGGATCAACCAATGCCGCTCTAATCGTGGATGGAATAACCTTGGGCACAGCCCTCGAGCACCACACTGAACTGTTCCGTGAGGTTGCCACGTAAGCTCCTACTTCCTGCCGGTGCCCCAACGCGTCACCATGAATCAATGTCTTGAAATTGCGTGGAGCTCAACGTTCTTGGCCTGCCGTTGCGGCAACAACATGCCCGCGCCTCTCGCAGGAAATGTACTTCCGTTCTGGGCTGTCGTCTGAGCCCGGTACAAAAAGCAGCGGTGGTTAAACTTGTGCGTGCCGGCTTAGCTTCGGTCAGCGACGAAGATGGCAACTCTGTACAGGGTGGCGGCAAAGCCGTGGCGGGCCGCAAACCAGTGACGTTGGCAATTGGCGACGGTGCTAATGACGTGGCCATGATTCGCGAGGCCCACGTTGGTGTTGGCATCCTTGGCAAGGAAGGACGGCAAGCGGCCCGCTCAAGGTCAGAGCCGACGTTGCTTTCCACTGGCACTGTCAAGTTTATTTTGTTTTTTGGTTTTGTTTTTTAAAAAAAAACTCACAGACATGCCTCGTGCTGATGGGCCCCCTTTGGCAACGGTCATCACCATGACTCCCCTGTAATGCTTGCAGTGACTACTCCATCGGGCAATTTCGCTTTCTGAAACCGCTTCTTCTGGTCCATGGCCACTACTGTTATTGGCGAATCGCATACACGATTCAGTTCTTCTTCTACAAGAATTTGGCCTACATTCTGCCTTGCTTGTTCTATGGCCCCATCTCGCTGTTCTCGGCCCAAGTCATTTATGAACAATGGAACCTGACGTTTTGGAATCTCTTTTTCACCTCTTTGCCAGTTTTATGCTTTGGCATTTTTGAAAAGGTACACTCCCTTCGTTTACCTCACGCGCATCGATCCAGGCCAGCTGGTACTTGGTTCTCTTAGTAATATGTGTGGCAGAAACCGACTGTTTGTGCACCTGTCTAATGAGCGATGGGGATCGGGTGAACACCGGTGTAGGACATTGACGAGCGCGTTCTGTTGCGCACGCCGAGAATTTACCCTGAATTCGTTGGGAATGCCGTCCTGAGCTATCGTAAATTCTTCGAGTGGACCATCACGGGCGTGAGTGACACGTGTGCTCGTGGTGTGGCGACCCTTGGACTGCATACTCGGCTGAGCTGACTCTTGATCCTGGGTCTGTGTACAGGTTTGGCAGGGGACCGCTGCTTACTATGGCGTCACTCTGGCGCTCGAGCGACACCGCCCCACGGTGCGTTGACAGCGCTGCTCCCATGCCCTGGTGTGATACAAGTGTTGACCTGACTTGCTTTGCCGGGCTGTTTTGTGCACTCTGATCAGGTAACCTTGTGGTGGTACGGCATGACAATCTACTCGCTGATGCTGCTCCTGGTGACACTACGCATCGCCTTTGATATGCGATACTGGACATGGATGAGCCACGTCTGCGTGTGGGGGTCGCTGCTGGCTTATGTCGCTTTTAATCTCGTCGAGTCGGGTATTCTCTTTGTGTGGGGTGAGGAGAGCTCAACGGGGGGCTACTACTGGGTACGATAGATTTGTGCCGCAATGTCCACCCCAGATGCTCGAACCCATGCGCGGCGTTTGCGGGAGATTGCGTGGGTCTAATGATGTCCGTTTGCGTGGACCCTCGCCTCCAACACACGCGCGCGCACCTTTTTCAGGTCTTCTATGATATGCTGGGCTCGGAGATTTTTTGGGGCACCCTTGTGGGCATGGCAGGCATTGCCATCCTGCCCCACTATCTTTTTTCGTATGTCATACAATTGCTCGTTTGTCATGTGGCCAACATCCTGCAAATGATCACCATGCTTTGGGTCTGTGTGGGTGCAGGTTGTACATGCGATTCTTCCGCCCAACGTTGCTGCAACAATGTCAAGCTAGCGAATGGGAGCAGTTGCGCGCAATGCTTGGTGTCTTCACCTGTGATTGCTGCGTGCCTGGGTATGGCAGTTTTGGGAAGGTTGTTGTTGTTTGATTATTTACAGTTAGTTTTTTCCTTTGTCATTTTCTTCTCATCCTCTGCTTTGTCGCTTGCCACAGGTTGTATGGCGTTGTGAAAAATTCCGACTATGTTTGAGCTCAACAACCTGGAGGGAGCTTCCGTGAAGAACGAAACAAGGCTGACGTAGTTGAACCTGAACCTGAATCGTATATAGATTGCATTTCACGCTCGTGGTCAACGATTGAACCTCATTGGGGCCGCAGGCCCTAATATCCACAAGCAATCAACAACAAGCAAAAGAGAAAATAAAGGGTCAACAACAACACCAACAGGCGAGGTAATGAGACCCTCCACCCGACGAGGGAAACCTGGCAACTCGAAGAACAGGACACGACACAACAGCAAACAAACAAACACCAATGCCGTCCTCCAGGCCAGTAGGACCCCGAGTGAACCAGAGTCGCACACACGGCTTAGACCAAACTCACACGCCCACCAAGAACCTCAACGCTCTCCAAGATTGTGTCTTCCGCATCCAAATCAATCTCAATCCAGTCCGGACCCTCAAGGGGACAGCTCACGGAAGGCAATGGCTCTGTCTCAAACACAGAGGACACGACAGACGAGGCTGAGCCTTCACTTTGCCTCGCCTCGCGCGCCTCGGCCGTGCCTTCAGCCGCCAAGGAGGACATTGAAAAGTCAAGGACGAGCTTGCTTGCTGTGAAAGGCCGCTCGTTTGTAGTGGAAGACATATTGTAAGCAGCACTACTGGGAGCCAACCAGCTGTTGATTGACGCGGATGCAGACTCCATAGTGGCACCCAAGGGTGACGGCGCTGTGCGTGGTGCGGCGCCGTCAAAGAAGTGGCGTGGAAGCGATAGCGAGGTTGACAATGGCTCCAAATTGGCCACTTGGCGTCGTGTAGCCAAGGAGGCGTCGGCCGGGTCAGGTGAACTCAGACCATGACCCGTACCGGGCTCGGGAGCCGAGCGCGTGGAGACAAGCGAGAGGTCATCGTGACGCTCATCTTCGCTACTGTCCATACAGTCAGAAGCGGAAAGCATGCTGCTGCGCCGACTGTAGCTTGTAACAGCAGAACTGCGAGGCAAGGACCAGGTCTCGCTGAGGCGATGGGGCGTCGCCTCCAGGCTTGCATCGCTTAATTTAGGCCGAAGCGGTGTGCGAGCTTGCTCTGGCAACGCAGACAAAGACGTGCTGCTCATCTTGCTGAAGCGACGCGGTGGGGGCATAAAGGCATGAACTGAATTGGTGCGAGCGGAGAGCGGGCCGTCGGTCGAGCCACCGTCTGCCTCTGCATCAGCTGCCGCGGCCACCACGATGGTCAAGCTGCTGCGCTTTGGCTTGCGCTCAGTCGTGGCCCCCTTGTTAGCGCCACCCTTGGCAGGTGAGGTCAGCTCAGCCAACAGATATTGGCGTCGCACCTGAGCCGCCTGGGTGTCCGGTGCAAGCTCCGCTTTGCTGGGTAAAGCAGGTAGAGCCGCCCGAGGCACAGATACGCGGAGGTAGGACTGCATGCCAAAGTCCGTCCGCATGGGAAAGGCCTGTTGAGACTGCACGCTCATCAGAATTTTGGTGACAAGATCCGCAGAGTCGCGCGAGAGAGTGCGGCGCGTTTCCGTGGCAAACAGCAGATCTTTGAGATGAACGGGGAGGAAAGGGATACAGGGCTTGTTGTGGAACTGCTCCAGCTGGCGGCGATAGTTGGCCATGTTGCGCGAAGGGTCCGTGAGTCGCGCCAGACGCGCAAACAGCTTGCGGTGCTTGTCCGCCAAGCGCACGGTCGCCATCTTACGGGACACCTGATTGCCAACGGAAGCAAGACATGCGCCGGAGATGAGAAGGAATGCGCTCGCGGCCGGATTCGTGATGACGCGAAACCTTGGCTGCTCAATTCAAGAAAACACTCTCGCTCAAGAACAGGCCGCTGACCTCGACGCTATCAAGAGCTGAGTAAATGGAAAACACGCTAAAGAGATTGCCAAGCTGACAGCACTTGTCTGCTACGCGCAACATTAACCTAATAAACGAAACAAAAATCAAGGTGAATCCACTCGCATGACTCAGCTGCCAAATGAAAGAGGTCATTGCATCTTGGTCAGCTGATTCGATCGGGGTGGGGACAAGCATCGGCTACGTACAAATATTTGGAAAGCCACTCTTTCTCGGCCGTGCCTAGGAGAATCTCGGCCTTGACCCAAGCAATCTCTTGCTGAAAGCGATCCATGGCAGCTTGAAGCGCAGAAGAGTGCGCCGAGTGTCCAGGTGCATGCTGTTGTGACTCCATTTTGTAAGCCCGCGCCACTGTGTAGCAAGACACAAATCATGTGAGCAAGAGACGGCACGTGACAGCCGTGCGCCATGTGACAATTTTTTGCCGAGGTACAAGAGTAACGAGAAGGAGGGAAGGTGAGGTCAATCAAGTCGAGAGGAACAAACGCACTCGCTGTCAGGTAGTCATCGACAGTCAGTACTGTGAACAGCTGCTCATCGAAGAGCGTGAGCTGGTTTGCCACAGTATCTGGCTCCAGCTGATCCAAAATGCCAGGGGTAGGGCCATAGTGTTTGTCTATGAAAGGCAATGGGTCGTAAGAAAAGATGAGAACGAATCCTCGACCGTGAGAAACTTGGAAATGTGACGACCGTACCTGCAGTTGCCGTGGCATCCACGGGCTTGCGCGCCGCGGTGGCTCTGTCCTGCAGCTGAACGACGAGTCGGATTTCTTGCAGGAGCCAGGCCCATTCAGAGCCCATGTGTTGCTCGCACCAAGCCTCAAAGCTGTGGCGGGTGAGATCATCGTGCAGCAAATCCGAATGGCACACAGAGACCCAGAGGAGGCTCAGCTCCAAAACAGCATACGTCTGCACAAGGAGAGCAAATGAGCTGGAGGCCCCGTGTGTCAAGCAGCACGACAGGATGGAACAAGGGGCGCACCGCGCTAGGAAACCGCTCCAAGCAATCCTGAAGGTAATTCAAAAACTCAAGGGGGGTGAAGACGACGCGATACGTCAGGACCAAGCCCAGCATGGCGGGTATGTCAGCCTGAATTGACCGAAGTGGTCGCTTGAGCCGCCGCAAACATAGACGCTCTATTGTATCAAGACACGGGTTGTGAGGGGCGGTAAGCGTGTTGCCTCGACCAAAGAAAACAGCAAGGCCCACTTGCACCGAAAGCGATTAAAGGGGCAAGGTCACGCACCACGAGCTTCATCGTCCTTGGCCGGGTGGTGGGTGCTCCGCTGAAGCTATATATCAACGCGCGGAGATCAGGAGGTGAGCAAGGAAGAAGTATCTTTGAGTCCGGGGCAAAAAAAGAAGTGCTTTTAATCTATACCTGGGCTTCACGGAGAGCAGCTGCAAAGAGCTCGAGGGCATCGTCATCCAGCTTGTGATGACAAGGCAGTTCGTGAGCGGGCCAGTAGCGGGCAGCTGGCGCCAAGCTTTGCACGGATGGGCGACGATGATGGCTTCCAGAAGAGGAGGCACTATCGGCAGGAAACCCATCCAGGTCTGCCTCGGAAGAGTGAATGGAAGGTAAGGAGACGCGGTCGCTGGGCAGTTCACTGCTGCGGCGACTGGCTAGGGGTAGATCGGCAATGTCCCCGAGGCTGGAGCTCGCCGAGAGAGCTGGCGAGCCTTGGCCTGCGGAGCTCGGTCGAGAGGATGCGGCTAGCCAAGAGTGCCGGCTACGGGGTGGCAGTATTTTTTCAGGCGTGACGCTTATGGGGCTGCAATTTGGCTATAACCGTGCGTGGTCAACAAGCATTGAGAAATGAGACTATACAGTGGTGCTGCAAATGCTCCGAGATCACGACCCGAGGCCAACATACCGAGATGACCTTGGCGCTTTGTGGGCGGTGCTCAGTTTGAATGAGCGCCTTGGCAGCCTTGATGACGGCAGAGGCGTCGCCGCGCACTCGACTCTGAAAGGCTAGGAGCTGGCACCCTGACGGATTTTCGACGAGAATGCAAGCCAACTTGCAGAGAGCACGGCGAGTAAGGTGAAGCATAGGTTGTGGGTGAGCTGGTACCGTGGTCGCAATTGCAACTGTGGTGCGCGCAGAGGGACTGGGGCATACATGATGGGGGTGGCGTGGCGCGCCCGCATATAAGATTTGTTCGGGCTCAAAGGCAATTGTGTTGAGATGTGTGCTCTCATGTTGAAAGAGGAGGCCGCTACCATCCACACGCAAGGTGCCCTGTCAAAAATTCAAGCAAGGCAAAATCGGATTGAGCACGAGTATTGATGGACGGGCGCAATGTGATCGTGCTGTGGTCGTGGAGAAGAAACAACAGGCGGCAATGGGTCGTCGCGCATTTTTGTCGTTTTGGGGAACAGGCAAAGAGATGGCCTGGGTCGAACAACACACGCTTGCGTTCAGCGAAGGCACATACCTGATGGGCAGCAAGGGGCATAGATTTGATGCACTGTAGTCCAGCTTGAAACCGAGATTTAACATCCTGGCCACCCTGGAGCACCAGGGAGGCTGCCAGACTGGTTTGCACGACCACCGTTTTCTGTCAATGGATATAAATAAGTTACAAACCAAGAAATAGAAATGACCGATACGAGGACAGCAAGGCGAAGGAGTCGTGAGACGGCAAGCATAAGGGGTCATGCTGCGTTTCTCGCCCAGCAAACCGCCGGGTTTGGTTCGAGCAGCTGCGAGCAGGCTAAGCACCATCAGCTATGCAGACGTACCATGTCAGCGATGATCGTGCTAGCCCATGGCCTGGTCGGCCGGACCGAAATGAAGAGCTAGCGCTTGGGACAAGCTATGATTGCCAGCAGTTCTGAACAAGCGCCAGCAAGGAAGGGTCAAGCTCTGGCAGTTGAGATGGGCTGTATTCTCGGCCTCCCGGCACAGAGAAAATTGAGGAAGCGCTGCTGACGGGCCGCTCGAGTGGATGTACGGGTCGGCGCTGTAGGGTGGTGGGCAAGCGGTGATAAGAGTGCGAGGCCTTCAAGGAAGGCAAGCGCTGTGACCAGTGCATGTCATGACAGACCTTGGTGGATGCTGGGGGGGGAATAGACTCGGGAGAGAACGAGTGGGTGCTCAAATGGGCAGGCGGGGAGTGCAAGAAGCAATCGGATCTTGGTGGCTTTCTGTCGGCTTTGGTGTTTAAAGGTTCAGCAGGCCAGCGGGCCAAGCAATCTCGAGTGGGCAATGCCACGTCTGGTACTCCAGGGAGAGGACAAACGAATGGGGTCCCTTGCCGGCACAGCTCGGCTGCGTTAGCGGGTGCAGCGCGACGAGCAAGCTGGGGAATGGGCGCCAAGAGGAACGCCAGACCTCAAGCTTGAAATGTGTAGGGGCTGACGGTTGCCGTTGAGCAAACGCACAGCAAGAATGCTACGTTGCCTGTGAGGGCGTTGGCGGGCACAAAGCTCGGCCGCAGCCCCCGACCAATTCAAACCGACAAGACTCGTGTCCGCTCCGTTACTTGCGTGCGAGCACCACAATCAGCACGCGGAAGAAGAAGAAGAAAAAGAAGATGCAAGCGTGTGATGGACAAAGGCGAGCATGCACACCACGACCTGTTCCTGAAGGAAGCTCAACACGGGTCAAAAACAGCTCCTTTGGAACCAGGGTCGACAGCCCAACAGTCTCGGCCCAGCAAAAGTCCACGGCGCTGCCGTTCACGCATCAACAACACGCACACACACACACACACACACACACACGACAGCAATAAAATAAAATAAAATCTGATGCGCGTGTGTGTGTGACACTCTCTCTAAATATCACTTACATGTAGTAATCTCTCTCTTACATGTTAATCCAGGCAGCACACGGCCACGCTCCCTGCTCAGACTATGATGATGTACGTCCAACAGCAATAATTACATGTACATGTAATTTTTTTGATTTTTGATTTTTTGATTTTTGATGTGTGTGTGTGTGTGTGTGTGTGTGTGTGACATTTCAGCTTCAAGGTTTAAATTTTTTAATTTTTTTATTTGGGGCTCAAATAAAAAGCGTTTGGGTATTCGAGGTGTTGCTGTTGGCAGAGAGGCAGCGCGGCACGGTTGAGCTGGGCGCCGACGTGGCCGACGTGATGCCGTGAATGGTGATAGCTAGGCGCAGGCGAGCATTTGTGCAGTTTTAACAAGTCTTTAGGGGGGTTGTGCCCAATGCAAGCAAGATGCATCCTGCCAAGGTGGGATCAAGACTTGGCTCCTCTGGTGACCTACGTAGACTGCCCGCCCCCGGCTTATCAGTTGCCTTTTGTGCCCGACTCTGCGCTTGGATCGTTGCTGTCGTGCCTGCCAGGATTTGGAACAGCTGGCACATCGCGCCCTCTCTCTGCAAGATGAGCGTGAGCAAATGGAGCTCTTGCTGACCGAAGCCGATGACCAAGCCCAGGTTAACCCGCGCGAGCCTTCACCCTTTGCTCTCCAGCGACCCGCGATTCGATGCATGTGTCGGCTCACGAGTATTCTTTTGTCTCTTGTCTCTGCTGCACGTTCAAGGAGCAACAATCGCGGATTCGCCACCTGGAGATGCTTTGTCAACAACAAGCCAACGAGCTGGCTCGCGAACGCCAGCGCCTGGTCGATGTTGAACGCGTAGGTGCCACGCAGAAGCGCAGCGCTGCATGTCCCAGCGCTGCTTTTTGGTGCTCTTGGGCAAGCACATCTTCTCACAAGCAGGTGGTGTCCCACGGCAATGCTCAATTCTTTCATTAGACATGTGTCTCCTTGGAAGACCAGGTTGATGCCTTATCCAAGAACCGAAGGACGCGACAGCAGCCGCGCAGCCTCGACTCGAGTCAGGACTCCTCCCACGCACGACGGAACTCGTTGGACGGCCAGGATTCCGATGATGACGAAGATGGAGATGGAGATGGAGACTCGGGAGATGAGCAGGCCGATATGAGCCACGATATGAGCCACAATACATCACATTACCACGAGGCTGGCTTTATTGATGAGGAGCTATTTGACGATGAATTTTGGTCTTTTGGCCAACCCCATGATCCCGAAAACCCCCCAGCGCGTCTCTACGAGCGACGATATTCGCGTGAGGTCGCGCAGCTGTTGCAGACGCGTGATGAGCGGTTGCGCCTCGAGTCCCAAGTGTACGAGCTTCAACAAGCCCTCCGCTTCCGTGAAGAGCAATTAAATGAGGCCAAGGCCCTTCGTGAAGCAACAGCAGATCCCGTGCACCGTCACTCCGCATCCGTGTCTGAAGGATCAAGCGCTCTTCAAAGCCCTGGGCCTCTTGAGCCCGGAGCCATCTCCCCCCTTGGGCCTGTCTCGCTTGCGGACGAACTGTTGGCCGCCGCTCGAGAAGCCGTGGCGGCTGATCGCGTTGCCCCTCCTACCACGCCCGTACTCCCACCACCCGCGCATGGCGCGCCCACCGTTGCTCTGAGCGATCACGCCCACCCCACCATGCCCGGCAAAGAGGATTCGAACAGAGACGAGGACGACTTGTTTCATGACTGCGAGAGTGAACTCGACCCCGCCCTGGCGTTGGCTCACAAGATTGAAACGAGCATCACGGTCAAAGCCATCCTCGGCTTTCTCGCTGGTGGAGCTCGCAGCCGAGAACAAATTGAAGAATACCTGGTGGCACCCCTTCGCCTCGCGGGGTCAGACAAGCGTGAGGCCCTGACCCGTTTGCGCATTCTCCTTGCTGACCTTGAATCAAGCGACCGCCTCCTCATCTTCATCCGAGATGAAACCCTCATGTTCGCACGGCGCTGAGCGCCTTCTTGGCGCGTTCTTGAGACCTTTGTATTACACGCCGCTTTCGCGTTGAGTTTTCAGCATTTTCGTCGTTGGTCAGGCCGTGGATGGAGCTTGATTTTGATTTTGACTTTTTTTTTTTTTTCTGATTCGCGATCAATGCATGATTGTGCCGTTGCGCTTGACGTCCGTCCCTCTTTTTTTGGAGATCGGCTTTTTGACTCATTGGGTCCATAGTGCCGACGGAAGCGGCGTTGCCAAAGGCTAGCGCTTTTGCCCCTGAAGCAGCAATCCTAATCCTAATAATGTTTTTGACTCAGTCGCACCATTACCGCAATAAAATTCATATGAAATTACAAAAAAAGATCAAAAATTACCACAAAATTCTGATCAATAGCAAACCTCTCATGAAGGTTCAATAAAACAGAAAAAGGAAAGACGACGGGGTTCCTGGCAGAATGCGTGACTTCTACAGACGGATGCAAGGTTGGCGGTTCTGTTGTGTCGCGAACATGTTGTGCTCCGCAAACGAGCGCAGGGAACGTGGGTTTCGCTTCTTCCATTCAGACTTCATCGATTGGATCAATCACCACGGGCATCAAACATTACTCCACTCCCACAATCCGCAAATCTGCTCTTTTTATTTGGGACTCTGAGGAACGCTCGAGGGCAACACCTTGCCCAACTACCCAAACAAACATCGCACAGTCGATAGATGAGCATCCACCACGAACCATCCGCCCATTCAAAACCACTTCCCTCCATCACACGGAAAAAGCAAAGCCAGGACACACCTGCATCAGTGAATTCTTGATGCCAGCAAAGCCGCTGGTTGTGCCCACAGGGCCAGCCAGTGCGCCATCGATGGCCACTCGGATGGCCTGCTTGTCAAAAGCGCCATCCGCATTTTGCCTGTTTGCCAAGTGCAGATGAGTCAAATTTGCACGCAAAACAAGGCGCACGCACACGCGACAACGCGCCGACAGACAACTGAGTGGCGGGCCGCCTCAACACCCAGCCGGAGCAGCCCAGCACTTACACAAGGGTCCGGAGCAAAATTTGTGCTGCACGCAAGCTATCTTTGTTTGTCTTATTCTAAACGAGCATGAACCAGGATGAGCAAGGTTCAACGAGTTCAGACACTGGTTTCCTCATTCACATGATATATACAAGGACAGCCTGGCGAAGAATGAGTACCTTGGCTTGCTGAGCCGTCTGCACCTCGGCAATCACATGTTTGATCAAGGCTTCAAGATCGCCAGCCATTTCCTCGATGGCAGCAGCATGCTGCTCACATGCACGGTACGGGTTAGCAAGCGGTGGATCCTAGTCGTTGGCACGCCGCCTTCAAGAACAAGGGCCACCTCGTTACACACCTGAACCATGACCCGCTTTTGCTGAAAGACACCGGACAGAAAAGTGTAGGCACCCGCGGTGCGGAACTTGTTTAGCACCTTGCCGTTCACAATTTGCTGGCACACAAAAGGAACACCCAACAGAGCCAAAGCTATCCCACCAAAGGAGGCACACGTGAGTCGAGACGTACGATGAAGACCTGCTGCGGGGGCTACGCCACTTACCAGGGAAACGCCGCCCGAGCTCCACAAAAGTTTTGGGTTGCAGCTGGCACATCTTGGCGCTCGTGAACCGCGAAAGCAAGTTGATCAGATCCTGCATACGCAGATACGTGATGACAAATGCACGATCAGATTTGAAAAAAAAAAAAAAAAAAAAAAAAAAAAAAAAAAAAAAAAAAAAAAAAAAAAAAAAAAAAAAAAACACAGGGTGTGATTGTGTGGTCAAGAACGGGAGCAACCAAAGGGAGTGGACCGTATACCCAGACCCACCTGCTGAAAGCGCTCAGTATCAAGAGGAGCGGGGTCGCCGTGCATGAGCACACGGAGGAGGTAGTACATGCCCTGGGTTGCCGTGTCAATGACTTCACGTTCTTGCGCCTTGCCCAATACAGCCATGAGCTCGTTCAAGAGAGTCATGGCTCGGCCGACATCCTCTGAGTCCACCAAGAGTGGCACTTGACGTGACGTAAACAGCCTTGAAAAAATAAAAAAAGAAGCAAGGAAATAAAGAAGACACCGTTATAAGAAGCAAAATTGAAGCTTTGTCACCACACAACACGCGATGCTCAGCGCAGCACACGCACTTGGAACGCAAAAGGCCGCGTGCCCGCTCTTGTAGGACTCGGCCGCGCACGCGGTAGACTTGGCTTGCATTGTAGGTTGAGAGTAAGCCAGGAATGGTTTCCATCACCAAGGGATTGGTTGGTTGTTGCTTGATGAAAATTTCCACCAGCTGCAGAACCCGCTGCTTGAAGTGAATGGCACTTTCCGTCTCACGGGACTTGTCCTGCTTGGTATTGCGCTTCAGCTCGCGAAATGTGGCTGACAGCGCGGCATCGACTTGAAACATGCTGCGGCGCATGGCGGTGGCACAAAAGTGTGTTCGAATGAGTCAAACCACACGCATATGACATTTCGCTCGTCAACCTTCAAGCTCAAACTGACCGGTCATCGTCCCAGTCCGAGTCCTCGCCTGATTCATCCATGGCCTCGGGGACCGCAAGCACCTCCTACATACGGACGCCAAGAAGAGAAATTCGAAATGAGGACACTCAGAGTGTAGAGCCTGGTGTGAACAAACTGATGGCGTCTTGCCGACAATAAAAAGCCCTAGCTTCCTATGCAGGAAAAACTTACGCGCAGGCGAGCTTTGAGAGCTTCATCCACTTCATCATCCTCATCGTCATCGTCATAGTCGTCGTCATCATCGTCGTCATCATCCTCGTCGTCATCATCCTCGTCGTCGTCGTCCTCCTCCTCCTCATCGCTATCCTGCCCTTCAACGCGCTTGGCGCGCTTAGCGTGATGCTCCTCCTCTTCTTCTTCTTCCTCGTCTGAGTCAATCGGCACGAAACCCACAACGATAAGTACTCAAACATAAGAAAGAGGCACACGGTCTGTGCAGATGTACAGGAGCAATTACAAGGGCAGGTTGAAATTATCATCCCACCTTCGGCTTCCTGGGATGCATCCTTTTGCACCAGAACCTCAAAGAGCATGTCCAAACCACCAATCGTCATCGAGGGGCAGATGGCGGCGAAGACGGTCTCGGCCAGCTTGCGAAGCACAACGGTGCCACGCGACAACAAGCTCAATAGAACGTCAATCACAACCTGTTTAAAAGCGGATTATACCACAGCAAGGGTTGAGCCAATGAGAACCAGCGTGTTGTGGCGCGGATCGAGAAGGCAGAAGCCAAGGCCAAACACACCTCGGAAGCCTCAGGCTCATCCTCATTTGTTTTGGCGGCCTTCTCATCCTTTTGAATACGCAACTGAAAGCTTGCCTCGGCGCGCGACACATCTTCAGCCACGGTCTGCGAGAGCGAGGGATCGGGGAAGAACTGTATAGCCAGCCAAAGCAAAGTTAGGGTGATAGATCGAGTCTGGCAAATGACCATGCAAAGGGCTGACGCAAAACACCATTTCTTGCGTACCAGCAAGCAAGTGTGGTAGTGCAGAAGGCGGAACGCTTGGCGCACAGCATTCTGCTGTTTGCTCTCAGCAGGAGCTGTCGCTGTCTTCTTGGTCTTTTTCTTTTTCTTTGAGGGTGTCGTTGCTGGGGTTGCCGACTGCAACAGGCCACGAGCGCCCCACGAGCAAAGTGAGTGGAGACGAGATAACAAACTGATGCTAGAACGATTGCAAATACCAATTGAATTTACCTCGGACGCCATTGCAAAGGCCTGGTCAAAAGCAGCGCGCACAGACGCATCCCAGGGCTTGCACAGGGTCAAGTGCTCTGAGACAGCAACGCGGTTGATGATTGAGAAGGGTTAGATGCGATCCGGCAAGCACGCAGCGGATCGATCACACAACGACAACGCCATTAAATCAAGAGTTGCTGATAAAGAGCACGGACTTACCATCATCGAGAAGTTCACGCGCACCACGCACAACGTCATCCAGGGAGCTAAGCTCCAACTGCCGTGCTGCACCTGTAGTTATCAAAAAAAGCAACTGAGAAAAAGGTTGAAAAAAGGAAAAAAACATTTTGAAGAGCACGAGGCTCACCTTTGTCGCGTCCAGCGGCAGCGGTCTTAGTGCCAAGGGCCACCAAGATGGCTTGGAAGCGCTCCTGGCAGACAGTGCGCATGCTGTCCGCGAGGGCGGGGGTGGGCTCAACAAATTCCCCTACAAGGTCCAAGTGCGTGAGTGCTGGCCGTTAAAGGGCCATGGCAATGGAATGGGGCGCCTTCACGTTTAATTGCAACAAACACGCACCACCCGAGGTCACGTTGAAAAAGGCTTGCACAAGGCAAAAACGAGCGAGCTGCGTCATCCAATCTGCTTTGGCCTCGCCACTGTAGGAGCGAACGAGTGCCAGCATCTGCTCAAGAACCGTTGTGCGTTCCTGAGTTGCCAAGGTTTGCACTTCATCATCTGTTGCGTCTGTACAGCGTCAAGAGGAAGATGAGCGAGTGCAAAGGCTGCACACGGGCATAGTAAAGCGCGCTGTCAGGGCAAGGCACAGACCGGCAGGGAGTTCTGGTGTTGTGAATGCAGTCATCAGGGACACGGCAAACGTGCCCATGCTCTCTGCATCGAGGGCCGCCGTCAATTGCTAAAATTGATGGGCAGGCGAGTTGGATAGTGGTCGCGGTCAGTATCAAAGCGATCGGAAGGGGACACAGCATCCGACATGAAGGCCGGGGACAAACTGCACCTGAATGGTTTGCGTATTTGTGAGTTGATCAAAACGGCGCGTTCCATGTGGACCCGTCAGAGCGGACAGCACAGCCAAGACGCCGGCGCCTTCGGACTTGTTCTCCGCAGCTCGGTTGACGAGGTGAGAAAGAGCTATCTCGCACGGAAATTGGGGAGGATGATAATCGTGAGCCAGTAGGTCGAGGACGAAGGGGCGGCGCGCATTTGAGCAAAGGATGCAAGCCTACCAGCACGAGCGGCACCGTGCACGCCAGCAGTCGGGTTGTGCAGGTTGTTGATGATTGAAGT